GTTTAAACTCGGCTCTTTCGTTTTAATTCTTTTCAGAAAAAAGAAATTCGTTCGCGCGTGTCTTTTCGATATTATATTACAAGCAGGAAGTTCAAAGAAAACGAGAGCTTGGACAAAAAAGAGCATTGGATTAAAAAAAAAAAAAAAAAAGAGATTGCAAGGATTGAAAGGTTAGAAAATGGTATTAAAAAGTAGATTAAACAATCAGAGTTGAGTGTTCAACCGTGTGCAGTGACGGCTACGAGCTGAAATCGAGCTCGGCTCTTGTTTCTTTTAACTTCTGTTTCGTACTCAGTCTGGCGGAGTGTAAAATTTATGTGAACGCACGTAAGAGGCAATCGAAATCGATAATTAACCATCGTGGAACATCATCGTCGGTCGCGCTGGATTACTGTTCACAGGGCAATTGATAGCTGCGTTGAATCGCGACTTCCACTCGAACGTTATTGTTGTATCCAATTCTCGATCGAACCGTCATAATGGTCCGTGTTTATGCGCTCGAAATACGTATAAATCTACGCGCGCGATTCTTTCAAACAATTTCGAATCATCTAATCTTCGTTCTTTGTTAGTAAAAAGGAAGGAAGTAGAAAATGTGTATCTTTCGTCGTATGTCCAAAACTCACAGATAACATAGTTCAGCTTCTATGAAAACACGAAACGTTTTTTCGTTGCGGTCTTGTCTTCGTTTCATCGTTGTACGCTCATGTGGGGGTGGTAAGGGACGAAAAGATCTAAATATCTCGGAAGAATTTTGAAAAGGCACACCATAGGGTAATGCAAATGACGGGAATAATAAGGCTGAGTTTGCTAGTGGCATGCCTCGAATCAGGGCCAATTGCTTTATACACATTAGCTTGCGCTTGACAAGCAACACTAGTGCTCCGGATACGTTAGACTCATCATATTATCTCTGGCTGGCCGATAAAAAACCACCTATTACTCCTCCTATGTTTTCTCTCTGGTTTAACTTTAGATACTTTGCTCGATCACGAGGAAAGGAAACGAAAACGAAAACGGGAGACGCTTTCGCAGTAGCAAAAACATACAATTTTTTTTTTCTCTTAAACGTGCACGCATGAAAATGTCGATTTATCGAATGCCGTTTGATGAAATTACGCGAATGTATTGTATATTATTACTAAAAATAAGGCACGTTTAGAAGCGAGCTGTTTTATCCCTCCTACCAAAGATATTTTTTTTTTTTTTTTTTAAATATCGACAACATAAATAAATCGCCGTGGCATGGGAAAAAGGTAACATACTAGTTCCTTTTTTTTTTTTTCTTTTTTTTTATCGGTCCGCGTTCTCGCTCTTCGTTTTTTTCGTCTAACGAGCTTGCACAAAGAAAGTTCTCCGCGTGAAACGGCAAAGCACGCGATACATCATCATTATACTCTGTTAAAAGAAACTTCATTAGTTCGTATACAGGGTGTACCCAATAAAAGTACATTCGATCAAAAAGTCTTTCCACAGCCTCGGTATTTCCGTGGTGAGAATGGTGATTGAAGTGGTCGGCTGTAAAGAGGCAGCCGACCACTTTCCAAGCTATTTTAATAAACCGACAAAAATCAACTCATCAACTCATCAAAGTCACGTACAATCCACTAGGATACAATCCGGTAGTCTGCTAATATTCGTAATAAATCCAAACTTTCGCATTTTTTTCGAACATGAAAATTAAAATATACATCTTACAAAATTGTATATATATATGTATAAAAAATTACATGTTGTATATATACATTTTGTACAAAATATACAATATATACAAAATGTATATATATATTATACATATTGTATTACAAAATATATATCTTTCTTCCGTTTCCAACAAACACAATTCGTAGGTTGCTAATATTCCTGCTAGTACATCAAACTTTTGCATTTTTTCGAAAATCTTTATGAAAATTATACACCTATCTTTCTTTCCCCCCTTCCAACGAATACAGTTCAAATACAGCCAACTCCTTATTGCTGCAAATTATTCAATTAGAATTTCCGAGCTCCGATACTCGCGTACGAGCTCCAGAGAACTAGAGAATCGTCCGAGGTTGTGGAAACGCTCGCATAAACACGCTTACGTAACCCGGAAAGTAGGTAGAACGCAAACATCCATGAAACAGCGACCGCTTCCAATTCCCTGCAATAAATTACAAACCGAAAGATCAGCGCAATCGGCCACTGCACACTCGACCTGCGCGATTGCCACGGCCTGACCATTTACAGATATATAACTGGCCAAAAAAAAAAAAAAAAAAAA